TAAAGATTATTATTATTATTATTATTATTATTATTATTATTATTATTATTAATAGGATTGTTTTCTCACCTTGAATATTACAACCCTGTTAACTTTTAGCTGTTAATTTTTTTGCTAGACTGCCAAAGAGCAGGGAAAATCAATCAGTGAAATTAGAGATGAAGCAAAGGCCATCCTGGATGAAATGGGACACAATTACAATATGAAAACACTGCGCTTCATGGCTCTAATGATGAAGAAAATCTTGTCATCACTTCTTAGGAAAGTTATGGTAAACAAGAAAGGATTGGAAAGGGTAAGAAAAATACTGTTGTAAAAAAAAGCCAATTTCAATCATTGCTTTAATATAATTTTTACCACAAAAATGAATTTTTTTACTTTTTGATTCATTGAGGGCTGTGGCAAAAAAGAGGCCATTCCAACAAATAACGTCAACAAATTACGAATAGTCCCCGCATGGAGCAAGCATGCTCTGAAACCATTTTTCTTTCAAACTTTTTGTGTTTTTTTTTTGTTTGTTGTAAAAATGTTATTGTAAAAAACAAATTTCCGAGGGTTAAGCGCCATAAATGTATATGTCCTCTCATTTAACATATTATGATGTCAACAGGTACTGTTGGTACTGTTGGTCAAAATGTTATGAACATTAATTTGAATTGAATTGTTGCTTTGTTTATTCATAGTTAAGAGAAGCATCGCCACACATTCCTATTGTCTTGGTACCCAGTCACAGAAGTTATTTGGATTTTCTTCTTGTTTCTTTCATTTGTTTTCATGCCAATCTTCCACTTCCATTCATTGCTGCAGCTCAAGGTAAATGAAAGCAAGTATCAAGTTGATGTTATTGTTAGGATACAAAGTGATGTGTGTCATTTCCTCAGTTTTTTTTAATACTTTTAATTCATTTCTAACTGACCCTTTTTCCCTCCCTTCCCTTCTTTTCTTCCATCTCTCCTTTCTTCCCTTGTTTTTATGTTTCTCGCTTCAATTTTATTTCTTTTATTCCTTCTTTCCCTTTCTCCAGGACTCCTCTCTCTTTTTTCTTTCGTGTTCCTTTATTCCTTTCTTCCTTTCATTTTTTCCTCTTCTCCATTATTTCCTGTAATTGTTGTTACCCTATAATAATATATCCCATCACCTCATGTCAAACATTTATTTACTTAATTCTATTTGTTATGATCCTTTAGACTTCATGAATGCAAGAGTTGTAAGAAGACTCTTCCGTCACAGTGGTGCATTCTTCATGAGAAGGTCATTTGTGTCAGACAAATTATACTGGGTAATCTTTACAGAATATATCCAGAACCAGCTTCAGAAAGGAAACAAACCACTTGAATTCTTTATTGAAGGGACAAGAAGCAGAACTGGGAAGTTTTTGCACCCTAAACTAGGTAAAGAAATTGTATAAAATGGAGCAAACATTCCAAGTGAAAAAGAAATTTGAAGGATTGCTCAGTTTGGAATACTAAAAGACCCTTTTCATATTATGCACTAATGATATCTTACTTTATTTGAATTTTCTTTTTTATTTAAGGAATATAAAATGCATGTCTCTGTAGTTCAGTCTAAATCGCAAGTCAAATTAATTTTAGCTTAATCATACCTCATTTCTGGCTAAACATTCTGGTCAAAGTGATCGCTAAGGCAAAGATTTGACCAGATAAGTTCCAGTTCTAGCTGGACATTGTTAAGTCCTATACAGAGACATATAGTAATTAAGCAGCTGTTTTATGATAATGATTTAAAAAAAAAAAAATTTTGTACAGTTTTGCATGAGCATCCTTTTCTGATATAAACTCAGTAGAAAGCCAATCAGCATGCACCTTATGTGTTTCTCAAATATTAGTTTTATAATTCAAGGTTTACTATCCATGGTTGTTGATCTCTATGCTAACGCCGGTGTACCCAACATCCTGTTGTGCCCAATAAGCATCAGCTATGACAGAGTACTTGAAGAACCTCTCTTTGCCTATGAACTGCTGGGAATCCCCAAGCCAAGGGAATCGCTGCGAGTAAGTTTAGAATGTGTCTCACCAAACCATAATCAATGAATTACAAAGGAAATATTTTAGTCTAGAAGTTGAAACTTTACATCGCAATCACAAAAGTATGACTAATTTATTATCTGTATACTTCTATGCTCAGGCTTTTGGGTACCAAACCAGCTTTTACATGCCTTATTTGGTAAAACCRGCCAGCCTCGCATGGAAATATGTTGGTTTAACACATGAAAGCCTGTGCATATAGCAGTATGCATATACATTAAAAGTGGTCATACTTTTGCATGTTGCGCTTTTATTGTAATTGGGGCCAATACACCAAACTTGTGAATTTGGCTACATTTCTGAGATGAATAATTTTTAAAAGTAATATTTATATTGTATTTTAACAGGGGTTGATAAAAAGTAGATCTGTCCTTGCCGATGATTATGGAAGTATTTATGTGAACTTTGGACAACTTATTTCACTGAGTGACTGCATTGAAGGAAAACTTGACAGGATGGCAACTTCCCTGGTGCCAAGGTACTAATTTGTCTACCTCTATTTAAGCCCTGGGCATTGTACCCTTAGATTTTACAACTGTTATGGGCAAGTGTACTACTGCTATACCAACCTTGAATCATTGTCTTGAATTCTCTGTCTTTAGGCATCTTTTATTGTACCTGACTGATGAAGAGAAAGAGGTTGTACGTCAGACTGGATATGAAATTATTGCCAGACTCCAAGAGTCAATGGTTGTAACATCACCAGTTCTTGTAGCAGCTATAATGTTACAGAACCAAGAGGGATTATTCTTTGGTAAGTCCAATCACAATGACATACAAGTTTATGTCATATAGGGAAATTTCAGTGCTTGAAAAGATGAGGCTTTTGGCTTTGCTAGGCCTTTTTAGCTYGTGAATATTTCAGACTCGAATGACGCCACTCTTGGGAGTTAATTCTTTCACATGTATGTATTTTACATGTTCGTCATAAAAGAACAATAATTCTCAAGGGAATGTCATGTGATCTGAAATGGGCAATTCGCATATGAAGCTAAAAAGGTCCATTAATGGAAGCACTACTTTTTTCCAAGTTACCAACTGATCAAGCACTCTCTTCAAGAGATATTGTTTTCCTTGCAGATGATATTATGGCAAAATTTCACTGGCTGCAAGAGTTGTTCAAGAAATTGAACATTCCTTTGGCTCCACCAGGTAAGATGATGATGGTGGTGATGATGATGATGATGGTGATGATGATGGTGGTGGTGATGATGATGATGGTGATGATGATGGGTATGATGGTTAGGATGGTGATGATGATGATGATATAGTAATAATGATATGGTATAATAATAATAATGATAATAATAATGTCTTTATAAATTAGTAAAATACATACGTTTTGAACAGCTTACAAGAATGTTAAAGTTATTATGTTCTCACAGTTACAGTTTCATGTTTCACAAGTACACTGTAGTCTACTGCAAATTGATTTACGCCACAGCATTATTCAATCAGGGTCTCCCACCAGATATCTTTCTTTTGAATATAATTATGACTGAGTTTTGTTATTTCTTCAACTTACAATTACTGGTTGATTCAGTCAAAACAAATTTCCCTGCTTTCTGGGTATCGAAGTTCTAAGTATTAGATGTATGGCCATGCTATAGTAGAACACATCACAAAATAGTCTTGGAGTAGAGTTAATAGAATGACGTCAATAACCATTTATCTTTACGCAGACAAAACAAGCCTTAAGGAAATTGTAAAAGATGGAATAGACCTACAAAAATCAAGCCTTGAGTTTGACTCTGATACTTTTGTGAGGATAAAGGACCCAGAAGCAGGCAATCAGGTACACCACAGTTCAGCAGCAGCACATGCCTCAAGACTACAGCATCACGTTATCAGCTCTGTGAAAGATGTTCTTGGTGAGGCTGCCATCCACTTGCAGCTTGCTTACAAACGCAACACRTTGTTGCCGTATTTCTTTGGAATTGGAATGGTTTCCATGGCAACTCGGAAACAAAAGAGTGCTGCAAAGGAATTAGGTAACATTGCACGTTGAGCACTAATCTTGTTCTATTGATCCAATAAACAGGCATTACTTTATTAAATCATCTGCACTTGCCAAAGTCCTTACTCACAAAAGGTTCTTTCAATTCAATAAGCAGGTATTAATTCACTAAATCATCAACACTCGCTGAAGTCCTCACTCGCAAAAGGTTCTATTAATCCAATAAGCAGACATTACTTCACTAACTAAATCATCAACACCTGCTACATGTAATTTTAGCCACAGACGTTAAACCAGGTTGCATAGCAGCGAGAGTGCTTGTCTCTTACCAAAGTTCAACCCACGATCAATTTCCGTGGAATTYGCCCAAAAAATCACTTTAAATTTATTAATTCATCTTTAGGAATTTTGTCCGATGATTTTAAATTCTTGTCTCAACTGCTTGTGCAAGAAGTTTCTGGTCTTGCTGAAACTTTACCACAGGTATGAATCACATAAATATCTTAAAAAATCATTTTCTTAAAATTATGAATTTATATTATTATTTATTATTTTTATTATTAATATTATTATTATTACTTTATAATTAAAATGGTTTTAATATTTTCTCACAGGTGTTTCAGAAAACAATGAAAATRTTGCAAGAAAATCAGATTTTAAACTTTGATGCCACACATTCTCAATTCTCTGTGCGAGAAGCTGGGTGTATAGAGTTTGCATCAGGCCTCTGGGCTCCAATACTTACAGCATACTGGGTAAGATATTTGCTTGTTTTATAGTATAGGAGATTCCTAAAGTGAGTAGCTACCAAAAGAAACAAATCTTAGGAGGAATTGAATCTCTGGTTGAAAAGGGTGAACCCGGAGGGGGTACTCTTGCCCGTTTAGGGTAGGGATTTGCCGCTGAGCCCACTGAACCCTGACCCTGTTCCAGAGTAAAATCGATGAAATTTATACCCTGTTCCAGAGCAAGATCGCTGAAAACCATACTCTGTTCCAGTAGTGCAAAAATAGATACCCTGTTCGAGAGAGGAGAGAGCAGGATTTCATATACCCTGTCCCAGAGCAAGCTCAATTTTATATACCCTGTTCCAGAGTAGAATCGCTGAAAACCATACCCTGTTTGGCGGCATGTACCCTTATAGCAAATATAAGAGAGTTTCCCCCAATACCCCCACACCCCTGTTCCAGAGTAGAATCGCTGAAAACCATACCCTGTTTGGCGGCATGTACCCTTATAGCAAATATAAGAGAGTTTCCCCCAATACCCCCACACCCCCCGGGAGGGTGAGGGATTTATATATATATACTTTCTTAAGAAAGCTCCTATTCTACCTCTGGGGAGGACATTTGTAAAGTCTGTAAATATTTTGTGAGATGAACGTTTTGGTGAACCTGAATTGTGTTTTTACTGGTTGCAGATGGTTTGTGAATATTTGCTAAAAATGGGAGGAAATGAGAAAGATGAGACACATTTCAATGATGTCCCAAAAGGTGCTCAGCATCTTGCTGCAGAATATGTCCTTTCAGGTACAGTGAATCATTAGTTTATTAGTGCTTTACTTATCCATTCCATCCAT